AGTTTCCGTTATCTCTCGTGGTAAGTGTGGCCATCTGACAGCAGAACAGGAAGCACTTTGACATAGATCTAGTTCTTTCTAGTTCATTCTGCCCCTACACAAACTGAATGGCATGAAAATACCTTTTGTCCAGACTGAGCGGATCAAGAGGGGAGGCCAGTGGACCATGCAAGGCCATGAAGAAACTTGTCAATAGAATGTTTGCTTGGGAAATTTTTTTTCTTAGACTTCACCAGTTTTATACTGCTTTCCTTTCAGGCAATCACAAATGCTTTAACAACAGTAAAAGACCTAGACATGTTCTGGATGAATAAACTTGTATTGAGGTCCTTTCTCTACTGCTGTCTGAAGAGCATTCATTTGGATGAACTGCTTGATTTAGCCTCCATTGTGTGAGATAGAGACGTGTGTTGAATCCTGTTGTCAAAATACCTGTGCACAACTTTGTAAATGTCTTGTCACCACTCTTGTTTATTGGTCCATTCAGAGAGGGTAGGTAATATTCTGAAGGTCACACTATAGTGTACTAACGGTGAGCTTCAAATTAGGTACACACTGCTGTGTCATACAACTAACTTTCTCACATTCCCAGGATGCACAGTTTCTACATGACTTCTTTCTTTAGTCAAGTTAACTAAATTGACTAAACCACATCTTTATTCCAGTTTAAATAATTTAAAAACTTACATATTTCAAATAGTTTTATGAACTTAGAAAAGACAGTATTATTGTCTCAAACCAAGAGGAAAAAAATATGGATGTAGCCTCAAAATTAAAATGAAAATTTCATAATATTGTAAATATTTTAACATAGAGTCAATACATTTTACCAACATAGCCCAAGTTTACCTTTGTGTTCAGATTTTTCCAAATAATGTAGTAGGAAAATTCTCATAATCACTAAGCAATGAACTAATTTTTATTCCGGTATCAAAAGTGTGGATTATTCCTTGGCTTGTAGAAAAATGCTTGGCAGTCTACACTGTCCAGGTTCCCTCTATCCTCACTTAGATCAGACAGGTCAGCTGTAGCTCACCTTCTAGGGGCACTAAGTGTCCTCTCTGTCCTAAAAGATTAGACAAGTCAAGACTATGTGGTATTTATCTTACAGACTCTAAGTAAACTATTATGTAGGGTTATTTCTAGGATGAGAAATACCTAAATAGTTTGAAGTATCCCCAAGTCAGTGTTTCTGGATCTTCAGGTGCTGTTCACAGATAGCTCTGCCCACATATGTGACTCCTGATCTATCCACACTCTCCTTGGGTAGCTCCACCCACACATGTGACTCCTGATGTATCCACACTCTCCTTGGGTAGCTCCATCCACACATGTGATTGGCAGAGACAAATGCTTTTGTAAAGAAGGTTCTAAGTTACTTGAGGTGCTCTGAAATCCTGCAGCCTACTCACACAAATTGACATGCTTCCTGGGGTCCTGAAAAAAATCAAACCGTTGCTCAGTATGGGTATACATTTGTAATCCCATCACTGAGGAGGCTGGGGCAGGGGGATGGAGAGTTAATGGCCAGTCTGGGCTATTGTTGTTGTTTGGGTGGTTGGTTTGGATTTAGTCACTTTTAGGTGGAAATTTCTGTTTGACAGAATGTTAAAAATATTTTTAAATTCCTTGTTTTACTTTTTAAATATAGCATCACAGGAATGTCACACACACACACACACACAACAAAGATATAGGTAAAAGGTATTTCTTAGGATCTACATGTTAGGCTACTTTGTTTTTAGCTTTTAACCATTTGGTACATTTTTGTATCATGATTTTGTAAACATGCCTGCATATAACTAAAAGAAAAACTGTTGAACATACAACTGTATCTAACTTCTGTATGTGCCTGATAAAGAGAGAAACCACAAGAAGTGTGTTAGGAGTTACTATAACGTTTAAAACAACAACAGAATGATTGCTCATGGGAACCACTGAGGCTGTGTAAATCAAAGCAACTGAAGAGCTAGCTGCTGGTCCCCACTGTGCAGTAAGAAGCTTGCAACCTGAATGTGAGTCAGCTCACTGCTCCTTTCTGAGATGGTCTGCTTTTGAACTGAGCAGAGTACTTAGCGATGCTAATTAGCTTATACACAGGTGTAAGCACCTTTGCCATTGTGAATCAGTAGCAAACATGTTTTTGGTCCTTTCCTTAGTGCTTGAAAACACTAACACTCAGGATCAAGGGATTCCAGAAAGGAACTGAAAATCACAAGGAGCCCAGAAGACTTTCTGAATAGGGGATGCTGGCTGGCCAATGTCCCTGAGAACAAAACTGGCCCTGTCATTGCCATGGGGTAAAGCTATGTCACTGGCAAGATAGTAAAACAGAAGAGACCCAATTCCATCCTCTTCCTGCTGCTTTCCAGCCCCATAGTGTTCCTGAGAGATCAGACTTGGCAAGACACTGGCACTGTGGAGCCAGCAGAAGTGGGGTTTGCAGAACAGTATCTGGGTAACTAGTCTAACCTCCCCATGTTGCCTTTACTTTCTGTAATGTGCTCCAGTAATACACTATATTTTCTTATTTTTAAAAACACTGTTGTAAGGGTTGGGGAGAAGTTGTTAGGGTTCATAGATCATCCTACAAAAGACCACCCACTCATGTACGTGAGGGCAAGAATGTGTATTTCTCAAGAGAAGAATTCCTGCATGCAGGGGTCAGGCACACAACAAAATGACAATGACCAGAGAAGCTGGCAGGGTCATTTTATAGACAGCCAGGCGGGGATTAGGTCATCCTAAACATGAATGGCCAAGCGAGCAACAGCCACACTAGTATCTGTCTGATTGACTGGGGCTGTAAGTGCTGAATTATGCCTGGTATGCAATATCTCTCTCGCCTGCCTTATCAGAAACCGAAACTGAAACTAAACTGAAACTCAGATCTGGTAGAGGCTGGGAGAAGTCCACCATGGTGCTCCTGCGGCCTCTCAGTATCTCAGTCAATGAAATGCTGGCCACATAAGTAACCTAAGTTTGGATCCTCAACACCCATATGAAAATCCAGACATGGATGATGGTGCACCCTTGCTATCCCAGCATTGGAGAGACGGAGCTAATGGAATACCTGGAGCTGACTGGCCAGCTAGCCTTGCTGAACCAGCAAGTTCCAGGGTCAGTGGGAGACCTTGTCTCAAAATAGAAAATGGAGGCTAGAAGAAGACACCTGACACTGACCGCTGGCCTCCACATGCCAGTGGAGACACATGTGCCAAAGCACCTGCACACAGTTGTGAACATGAACAAAAGCATACAGCACACACCAAAATATCTGCTGGCTGCCCTCTATTGTATACACTTTATGATTAACCACTAAAACTTGCAGTTAAGAAGTTCTCTTCCAGACTCTTCCCATTGTCTGTGCCCTTGAGTCTGACTTGAACCATGGCCCTGCCTTTCATGGTACATGTGGCCATAGCATAGTCTACTGGTCTAGTATTTCCAGTTGTTCTCTTCTGCTTGTTGGTCAACTTGGAATGCTTCTGAAATAGAATGGTCATCTCTTCATCTATTTGAAGGTGAAAATAAAATGTGACCAGTTGTTAGAATGACTATTCACTAACAGGGATTTTTTTGGGGGGGGGGTGTTATTTTTAAATTGTGGAATTGTTTGGACACAGTCACTCACTTAAGGAAATCTGAATTTTATTTTTGCTTTTGAACATGGCCCATCATGTGCTTGTATCAGAAGTGCACTTGACAGGTTGGGGAGATGTCTTGGTGGTTCAAGCGCATGCTGTTCAAGTGTGAGGATGTGAGGAAAGCCGGCTCAGGACCAGACATAAAGCAGACATAAAACTCAGTATAGCATGCTCATTCTCCCGATGCTTCTACAGTGCACTGGCAAGGAGAGACAGGAGAACCCCAGGAGCTCACAGGCCAGTTACCTGACACGTGCAGCATCACGCAACAAAGAGACCCTGACCCAAACAATTAGGAGAGTGAGGACCTGAGGTTGTCCTCTGACTCTCCATGCTTGCCATGGCATGTGCCTGCTCTCAGACAGATGAGTTTGTAAACACAGCACGCACACACACAAAGATTTTTTTAATGTGCACATGACTTAGACTACTAGCATTGGGAGAAGGAACTGTAAAGATCAAGTATCCTAAATGTCTTGTCTGGGGGAAGAAAAACCGGTTTCAGAAGAGTAAATTGATGTCCCTAGGCAGAACTGGTAGTGTTTTTAAATTCTTTGACTGAGTTCAAGAAAAGTTAGAATGCAGCTTTCAAAAAGCTAGCAGTTCAAATAATTACCGCTATAATACTTGACCTGGTTGATGAAGAATCCAAAGACATGTCACTATGGGACACTTAGGTAGGTAGAGTTCAAGTTTGAATTGCTACCCTCTGCTTGGCCAGTTAGGAAGAACTTGGTCTACATTCAGGTGCAGTTTACACTTTGCTCTCTGAAATCTCTTTTTTGGGGGCTCTCATTTTTCCTGGAAAATGGAAAAATGATATTTTCTCTGAGATCCCTGATTTAAGTGTATATGAAGCTTTGGAAGGCTCGTGTAGGCCTGCTCAGCCTTTTGACATTGCAACACAACATTGTCATGTCCAAAGTTCATGCTCCAGAACCATGGAATCAAGTGATGAGAAAAAAAATAATAACCCCACCCCCAGCACACACAAAACCCTCACAGTGTTTTAAGTAACTCTGTGGCTTTTATGTTAGACCTCATTCATAGGCCTCATTGCATGGACCATGGGCCAGACACAGCTGCATACACTAATTATTGCTGATTGACAGTCGGGCTCTGCAGGGAATTCTGAATCTACTGTAACCTCTAAACAGAATTGATGTGATGTACTGCTGGGGGCCCCTAGTTGGTGACACCTTTCTGTAACCATGCCTGGACTCTTACTAACGGGCTAACGTACTTTTGGGAACAAAATTTCAGATCAAACTTCAGCGCTGCGTCCACTGCTTCGTCTCTCCTTGTACCCCCCCACTCTCTCTCAGACCCCTTTACCCACCTGTCTCTATTTGTTCCGGTCCACTTCCTTTTTTAGCAGCTGTGGCTCCTATTCCCAACAAGGAGAGCGTTCCGAGGAGTGACAATCTCAGGATAGTGTGGCACAGAGAAGGTGCCGAAGAGGGTCCTGGAGTCATGCTGTCCCCACAGTGCCTTTCCTGTCTCCATGACTAATTATCCTTCCAGTCCGCTTTATGACTTTAGGCAAGTTACCCAGTCTCCCCGGTATTTAGCTGATCTATCTCTGACCTCAGTCATGTGGTCTAAAACGGCACCTTCAGCTTGTATCTGATAATTCAGTGAAGAACCTGAAACTGAGACAGTTACGGTAAATTGATACAGTCTGCTTACAAAGCAACATGGTGATACAGAATAATTAAAAATATGCTCATAAATTTTGGCCTGGAAGTTCAACTCCTATAAATTCATGCTGAAGAAAGAATCTTAAAGATTTTCAAGTATGAATATGCAAAGTTTTTAATCACAATGAAAATATTATCAATATCTATATGCCTATTAAAAACACAAACCATTTAAAATGTTCTTAATATCTAATATCAACATTATTGTTTCACTACATTATTATCAAATGAATAGAGTAACCTGCAGTTCTTTGAAAATAAATCTAAAACAGCTGTACTTATGATCCTAGTAAAGTAGTGAGTGGAACTGGCCATGAAGAGAGGTAGCAAAGTCTTTGTTTGTCTCGTGGTCACAACATAAACAAAGGAACAGGTAAGAATGAAGAAGCCAGTTCTTTTACAAAAAGCAGAAATATTGATACTGTTTCTAAAAATATTTTAGCACATTATTATTCAAGAGCTCTCAGATGTAGAAATTAGAATGAAATGACCATACTATAAAAGACCATGGTGTTATTAACAATTTTGATATGAGAAAATAGTAATTGTAAGATGACTTCCTGTGAAAATGGCAAAGAAATGAGGTTTGACCTCGGGCTAGGGGGATGGCTCAGTATAATACCTACTTCCCACTCATGGAGACTTGAGCTTGGATCCCTAGAACCCATATCGATATCCAGACACAACAGGATAAATCCCAGACTGGAGGCATGGAGACAGGAGAAACCCTGGAGTCTACTGTCCAGCCAGTTTAGCTGAACCAGTGAGCTCCACATTCAGTGAGAGATGATATCTCAAGAAATAAAAATGGAAATAGGTAGAGAAAGACACTCAACCGTAACTTCTGGACTCTACACACATGTTCACATGTGATTGTGCCTCTGTACATAACACATACATGTGCACACACATTTACATATACACACACGTGCACACCCATTCAAAGTTTGGTTTGAAAAGTCTAGCTGTTCATATTGCCCTAATTCCTGTGGCCCTAATGTTTGGGGTTCCTCTTGTGGATCCCCTTTCCACAATTGCATTACCAGGGATGCCTTGGAACAACCCTGGTATAGACACCCTGGGGAGACTTTGTCATCCCCTGTGTGATTCTGGTAAAACTCCAGCTCTCTGTATTCTTGCTGCTGTTGGAGAGGCAGGTTGGTTGGTTGGTTTGTTTGTTAATCCGGGGTCCTGCTGTGTTGCCCTTAACTGTCCTTAAACTGGCCATCTTCCTGCCTTAGCTTTCTGAATGTGGGGACTGAGAGCTATGGTGCTATCCACACTTCCTCACATATCTTTATATGGTCTACTTTAGGAAATGACTCAAATTCTTCTGTTCTGTGTGCTGCTTTGAGAACATTCTCACTCTTTACGCGTGTGGTAATGACTAGAAGACGCTCCTGGCTTAGTGAATAGCCAGGGTAAAAGTTGCGCGGCCAGTGGTGCTCACCACACCCCAGGAGTGATAGCCGCACTTTCCTGAGCACTCACTGAAGGCCAGACCCTGTGTTGTATAACTCATCCTCATCCTCACCAGCAAAGAACCCAGGGCTCTCCCAGGCTGTCATTGTACAAGGTCACAGATCCAGCCAGCAGAGAGGGGTGGGCCTGAATATAAACACGGGCATTTTGGTTTTGTCACTTACTGGTTATCAGTCTTAATTACTGATTCTAGATTTGATCAGGATTGGTCCATTATTAAGAAAAACACTACTCCTCCCCCACCACCCCATGCTGGGAATAACATCCAGGGATTCACTAGCACCAGGCAACTAACTGCTCTGCCTCTCTTACTTCAGACCACAGAATTCAGTTTAGTAAGTAAATTCAAAGTCCCCAATGTAAGCACCACATTTGTTTTCTCTGCTTCTTGTTGAAGTTATCCTGGCAAAGCTGAGACCCTCTAGCTACTGCATTCTTAATATTTTTGCATCATGATGATGTATCTACACACTGTGTATAGAAATCCTTCTTATGAAACAATTAATGCAACATATTTTCTCTCATAGAAATATAATGCCTCTCATAAAGCATTATATTTCTATGATATGACTAGCAAATCTTTAACATACTATTCACAGTTAGCAGCTGGTTAGAACAACAGTATTCTGCACATTTGGGGAATATGTTTGGGGTGAGATTGCCCATTGCTTCTCAAACTAAAGTTTTCCAGGTGATACAGGAACTGGGTCAGCACTGAGGTGATGGCTCATAGGATCTCAGTTACAGTAATACCTGCACTTTGGTTTAGTGAAGTGTCCTCTAAAGAACATGAAAAGGCACCCTGCTACACACACAGTTGTCTTGCATTGCATTCGGGCACATCTGGAGAGAATGACATTTCATGACAGCTTTCTTCAGGCAGCCAAGCAGGAAGACTGCAGGACTCCATGAAATGGGAATGGATATGGGGGAGGTTGAGGTCAAGCATTACTTGATCTCCAAGTACAAATGGTCACTCTGACCTTACAGTGTGATACATACTTTTCTGTAATTGTTCCAAGTGCTCCTGACTCTGGTAAGTCTTTTTCCAGCTCACTCAGTGTCCTATCAACTTGTAGAAACTCCAGGACTGAAAGGGGGGGGAGGGCGAAGAAACATACATTTCATAAGTTAACCAAAATAGCACTCACTGAAATACATTCATTCTGAGTCCCCTGAAGGCATGGACTTCTCGTGAGTCTAGAGCAGAGCTTGATTGTGAAAAATATTACTCCTCGTTTGTATGCTGTGACCGAGTTGGCTTTGCAGACTCGTGCTGGCTACAGGCAGTGCCTGACAACTGGATTGCATTAGTATTCATGTCCCGTTTCCATGGGGACTAGAAAAGTAGTAGTGCGCAGGAGGGGTCGGGTAATTAGAGATGAAGTATCGATCTGTGAATCAGAGCCCGCACCTGCACAGTTGCTCTGCATTAGTGAATCATCAGCAGGGACCTCTCTGCCACACAGGCAGATCACACGCTGCATTCCACACAAAGCATTTTTTTTTTTAATTCAAGTGTGTTTTACTAAAACTTGAGAGCTAATGGCTTTCATATTACAATAATCATCATGAAACATTTTCAACAATGAAAATGAAACCGCTAGATTCTTTTTTTCCTCTTAAAATCAGCTTTCTGGAAAAATAAGGCCATGGACCGCTTCTGCTTGTGACAACTGTGCTCTTTTTCATGGTCTTGCCTGGATGTATGGGGAGTGAAAGGGTGCTTAGGACAAAGCTTTGATGTGGATCAGAGCATCTGACATGCCTGTCCAACGAACCTCTGTTCCCATGAGAGACCTGTGCGTTGCCCCAGATCCTGGGTCCTGGGTCTACTGCTGTCCCCTCTAAGGTGGGACAAATGGCTGTTTATGCTTTGTTGTTGTTTTTTTAACTCCCTTGCTTTATTAACACAAAAAGGAATATGCATGCCCGACTGGGGTTGACATTGCCATTGTTGAAGCTTCCTTAAGCAAAAGCTTGGCAATAACCTTCACGAGGTTGACTCTTCCAAGACTATTCCAAGTCCAGCATAAGACTGTTCCTTATGTTGAAGGAATTTAAGTATCTGTGAGTAAGTGGAAATCAAAAAGTAGCAAAGTTATCAATACAGGCAGTTACGCTGGGAAGAGGAAGGCATTGGGGAACCTGCTAGGGTGAGTTCTGGAAATGGATTTGGTTGTTGCTTTTGGTACTGGAGATCAAGCCCAGGACCCCTGACCTGCACCCCCAGCCTGGAAACATTCTTACTAAGGGCTATGGTGCCTTCATGTCTTCGTAAACATATGTAGAGGGGCATCCAGTTCTCAGCCCTTAGATCCATGCAGTTTGCTTATCTAAGTTATGCTTCAATAAAAACATAAAATTTAAACATCTTCTGATAATTTCCTAGCTGCCATATAAAGTAGACCTTGATGTTGCTAAATAGAAATGTAGGCACAGGCATTTGATGGTCAAAAGTTGTGCTTTTTGGCTGTCTTGTTTGTGGCTAAGCATTGCACCAACACACACCACATCCCAGCTTCTCTGGGGATCAGGGAACGTTGGGGGAGAGAGGACAGAAAAATTGCAGGGGCCAAAGGTTGTAGAGGACTTAGATGAACCGGTGTCTAATCATACAGCAGGATCACTACACTCAGGAATTCACAGGAGCTGTGTTTCCTATGCAAGACTTACATAATAACAAGCCAGCTAATATTCCCTCATGGATAGGGAGGTGCCTATGGGCCCCCACCCCTAACTGAGGAGCTCTTGACAGTGGATGGCTGCTCGGAGAGGAAGAGTCAGATATTTTTAGGAGTGTGGTCCTTGTAGGTTGACTATGCTCATCCTAATGATCCCACACCCATTCAGGAGGCAGAGTGCAAGGTGCGGAAAGGCATGCTGGAGCCCTTGAGATTCTTAAATCTAATGAAAGGTTAAGGTTTGTCTATAAAGATGATGTGACTCTGTTTATGGCCACGGGTGGGGGAAATTCCACATCTAGCATTCGTCAAATCAGCAGACACAGGAAGGAGCCAGATCTGGCTTTGGGTTGGGCTCACAAGTACTTGGGAAGTTCCATACCTTGCAGTCCCTTCAGTAGAAGCTTCAGACCCAGGGTGGGGACCAAATCTGACCTCATAACCCAATCAACAATCCTAAACAACAGCCTGGTTTAGAGAGATAACTTAGTCAGTAAAATGCAGGCACGAGGACCTGAGTTCATTGCCCAGAACCCATGTGAAAAAGCCCAGTGTGGTGTTGCATGCTTATAATTCCAGTGCTGGGGAGGTAGGGAAAGGCAGGTCTCTGAGACTCACCAGATAGCAGCCTAGCCAAGTCAGCGAGCTCTAGGTCAAGTGAAAGGCTGTCTCACAAAGTCAGATGGACAGCGCTTATGGAATGCAACAAGTTGACTCCTTGCCTGCACACACACACACACACACACACACACACACACACACACGGGGGGGGGGGGAGAACACTACAGAATTACAAATTACTTGCCATAATTTAATATAGCCCTTTAGATAACAATGCAGAAATTGAAAACAGGATTCAAGCCTTGACATTTGTTCATTATGGTCATTTCTTCCTAAGATGAGACATCAATTCATTCAGTAACTTTGGCCTGAAACCTGACTTTGACAAAGTAGCATTTGGGGTAATAGAGTGGAAATGTTGCACCTGATGGGTATTTTTCAGAATTATATTGGAAATGCTGTTCTTTTCCTCTTGACATATATTTTAAGTTTTTAAAGGACATTCTTAATATATCATTGAGAGCTGGACATAGCACATGCTACCAAGAAACCAAGCCAGAAAGCTCCCAAGTTCAGCACCAGCCTGGACTACGTAACCAAACCACATGTCACAAAACAGCCATTGAAGCTTTTATCCTCATGTGTTCATCACGGAAATGGTCAGCCAAGTAGCTGATAGGAGTACAGAATGTACCTCTTCCTTTTGGCATTGTGAGGAAAGGGCACTCATTTCTGGCTCATTTTATGAAAAGCTATTTTTGTCAGCGAGGGGAAAAATACCCTACTTTACTGAGTAGCTGACTCAGAATGAATGGATTTATATTTGACTTTTCCAGTTCAGACATTTATCCACAGATGAGACAGATTTTGAATTAGTAAGAGCTCTTTCATGTTATTTTGAAGGTGTTTTGCTATTTGTGCTTTCATATATTTGGGATGTTGTTTTTCACGTTGTGTTCTCATAGCATTTGTTTCAAAGAAGTGGTATTCCATTAGGCTAGCTTGTTTCATCCTTAAAAATGTCTGACACGCTGTTGGTAACCAAGTTCAAAGGAAGAGTGTGGATCCGCGGGCTCTCGAGCTGGAACAGGCCTCGGAGTCATTTGGAGAACTGGTGAGCTCCTGGATTTCTGTGTCTTTAGCTTCTGATTCTGACTGGAGAGAGACTTTTCAAAGAAACAGCAACAGTGGTGTGGTGTGGATGGTGGGTGGTGGGTGGGGAGCTTCATCTTGAGTGCTGCTGTGTTCTCTCCTGGCGTTTACTACTTCCTTGGGGTATTTCTTTACTATGGCTGCTGAAACACCACAGATGGAGGGACTTCAAACAGCAGAACTTGTTTTCTTCAGGTTCTGGAGTCAGCAGTGTGGTTTTGTTGCTGCAAGTAAAAGCTAAGGGGCTGCTGGGGCTGCGTCCTTTAGAAGACACCAGGGGACTCCCCAGCTCCCAGTAGCCTGTTCCAGGGCTTGTGGGTGGCTGCCATCTTCCTTTTTGTAGTCAAACCTGCCTCTGGTAAACCGAAATGCTTCACTATGTGAAGGTCCTTACCTTAGTCACTTCTGCGAACTTTTTGCCAGGTAAGGTGATATTCCTGCATCCGGACGTTAGCCCTTGTATCTTTGCCGGCTGATACAGAACGTGCAATGATGTGAAAATCCCATTCTCATCTCTGCTGATCGTGCAGCAGTCATTCACTGGAATATGAAGAGGGGAATGTCATTTAGAACATGACAACATTCTCCTTTGAAACTGACAAGAATTTCCAGACGGTAACATACAGGCACCTGCAATAAATGATCATGTTATTCTATTATCTTGAAAACACCGTGGAAAAACATATTTTCCATCAATCAATTTTGTTAAGAGCTGATATAAAATTTTTCTCTTAAAATGTCACATATTTTATACATGTTGGCCAATAGAACATGTGATATGCTCACAGTTATGTTTGATAACTGGTACCACATGGTAAGGACTTCAGTGGTGCTGCAGGTAGACCTCTTGGGATTCGAGTGAGGAAGGCGTGCATATTCTGGAAGTTCAGCAAAGTGGGAGCTGAGGAGTGGACTAAAGTTGGAAAGATAAAGGAGTCATTGACCATGAAGATGAACAAGCAACAGGGAGAGAAAATGATGCTGGAGAAGAGTCAAAAGATAAAGCTAGAACTTGGAAAGGATTGTATCCAGGGTCAGGGCAAGAGAGGTCTCTCAGGTGATGAAAGACAGGCAGGGTGCTAGGCAGCGCCCACGTCCATGTGGGACAGGCAGGACTTCAGCTTCCATTTAGGAGAAAAATAAGTACCAGACAGTTGAACAGGAGCTGGGAAACGGCCAGTGGTCTCGGTGTGAGGAAGGAGTTGGACGCAACAACTCCTGGGTGCGTGACCACACGTGTTAGCCCTGCAGCGGCTGTACTGGCTGTGGCTTTTGGCTCAGCTCCAGGGAGAGCTGCCTCCTCCTCTGCATCAGTTTTGTCGTGTTAGGTACACTCAAGGATGGTTGGCAGAAGGCCAATTTTGAACACTTGGGCACGGAAGAGGCTGAAGGTTAAGAGAGAGAGAAGAGGACACAAGCAGACTGTTAGCAGTTTATTAAGTTACATCTGAAAGGAGAGAAAAGAAAAAGTGGAAGTTTCGAAAGACTTCTCAACTTGGGCATACAGTTGAGTGGGAGAGCACTTGCCTGGCCTGCGCAAGGCTGGGAGTTCATTCACCAGGACCGCCAAGATTAACTCAGTAAGTGGGCAAGTCAGTAAATGACGCACAGAGAGCTCTCCCTCCTTTTTCCTTTCCTTTTCCTTCCTCCCTCTCTTCCTCCCCCCTTTCCTGCTTTCCCACCCTCCTACTTTCTCTCCTTCTTCTTTTTCCAGAAAGTGACTGTTGCTTAGTTTAAAGAAACATGTTGCTATTTCACTTAGGATCTTTTCCCGCTGGACTAAGAAGCCAATTTTCCATCCAAGGGTCACCTACATTTCATTTGAAGGTTTTGGATAGTGCAGTGGAGGTACAGCTCCCTGTTTTCAGTGCTGGAGATGGAACTCCTGGCCTCATCCATGTGGGCTGTGCCTCCAACCCCTTAGCCTGCTTTTTCAAAAAGCTTATGCTTAGGAAATACAGCTGACTTTTAAGTAGACTCTAGCTATCTCTGTGGTGTTTGTAGGAGAGCGGGCAGCTGATTTGAGAAAGGAGGAAGATGTGTACTGGAGCGTGAGCAGTGCTGGCTTCCTCGTGTCTTAAGCTATGCCTGTCGAGACCTGTAATGTGATAGTTCAGAGATCTTCCTCTTGGGCAGGGCCTTGTGTTGCTCCACCATTTCGAAAAGAAAACCATGTCAGAGAGGTTAAGTGACGTCAAGTGGCAGGGCTGGCATCCAGCCCCACGCTGTGTGATTCTTCACCTGCCTTCACCACAGTCAAACAGCCTCTCCAAGGAAGAAGACTACAGCTCAGCCTTGCGTCAAAACCTGCGATGCCAACCTACTCTATGATATTATACTTTGCCTTCAGTTGTAGTGGGAGGATACCATTTTTAGCTTTAAACATGCTCAGTGTCTACTAAAATTGTATGTGCATAGGGTTTCCAGAAATCCTTTCATACTTTTCTACCAAGGGAAGCTTTGCTTACTGTACTAGAATATAGAACGTGTTCTCTTTAATGGGAAAGGTCCGCAGGTCCCCCCACCCCACCCCTGCCTGGACACACACTTTAGCAAACCTGTTTGACCTGTGGTAACCTGGATGGTCAATGCCTTCCATGCTCAGGCAGCCACCAGGACTGTGGATTGCGCTGGACTCCTCCCTTCCCTTTCCCAGTGCTCTTGGCTGTGCGCCTCTGCCCTCATCACCACCCTGGGCTGCACAGGGGACCCCCAGAGATCCCCAGGAGCTGGTCGCTTGCCTCCCTGTGCGCCTCTAACCCTGTCAGTACTGCAAGCATAGATCCTGGAAGTCTGTCTCTAATGCACACCTGATCTGCTCTTTATCGGATGGCAGAGGGGTTAGACTCATGGAATACATATTATGAATTGAGCAAACTTCAAAGCTAGAGAAGAGAAAAAAAAAAGTAGGAGACTGAGCATTTTGGAACTCATTTTTTTAAATGAAGCTGATGCCCCCACATAATACCTTGCTCCTGGGTTGAAGCTGACATTGGGAGAGTCGGTAGTAAAAGTAAATAGACCATTTGAGGGAGACTGTATAGTCTGAAGTGCCGTTTTCTCTTCAGTGTCTCGGGAGGGAAAGGAAAAGCGGGAGACACAAATGCCAGAGGGCATCCTGTCGCCCTGGTAGAGGTCCAGAGTGTAAAGTGCCTTCCACCCATCTCTGAATCTTTCTCAGTATCTGCGTCATTGGCAGAGCTTGTTTCTTTCCCAACCCTCCTGCCTGTTCCCAACACAGCGGGGGTGGCTCTTCACCTTTTTTTTTTGTTTTTTTGTTTTTTTTTTTTTTCCCTGACCAACAAAGATCAGTTCTTCTGGGCTACTGAAGCCGATATACAGCCCCCAGGCTAATTCAGAGCATGACCCCCTGGGTCAGGTTAAAGAACTCCCCCACTTCATACCACTGTACCCCCAGTGATGCTCTCTGGTGGCTCTAGCTGCATCATCTGAATTTACTTTCGGAATGAGTTTCCCAGAAATCCCCTGGGTCTGTGCTGATGGCACTTACATCATACCTAAGTATAGGCCTTGAGTTATTCTGTGAAAAATCCCTCACAGGAGTTCTGTAGTTTTTAAATATGATTTCTGTTTTCTCTTGCTGCCAAATATACGTGCGTGTGTGCGTGTGCGTGTGAAAGTACCAATAGTTTATTCATTGTCTCATAGATCATTTATATTGATACCACACTTCTTAATACAGAAGTAAATTTTTTCTTCTGCTTCCAGAATTGTAGAAATCTTACAGTTTGTGGGGGTGGTGTTGGGATAAACGTGTGTGGGAGCCTCAGGAAATTGGGTGGTGGGATAAAAGGAAGTGGAAGTACAGAGGTGGGGGTGGAGTGGGGGACTCTCTTTGTAAGTGAATGAGAACTTCCTCTTGGGGGCAAGTGTTTCATATATGTTGTAGCTTTTATTAAACAGTACCACTTGCTAAGGATCATGTATAGCAATTCCAAGGCCATGAAGGTGGAGTTGGATTTGTGATAACTGACGGTGCTGTGTGTTTTAGTCATACACTTTTGCATAGCCGTCTACTCCTCATGACTTCTCCAGGGAGCAGGTTTCTCCTCTTCCCCTCCTCCTCTTGGTCATCACCAAGCGAAACTCTAAGCATCATAAACTGTATGTTTCTTGTCCAAAGGGATCACCATATTCAGATTAACTGTCTCTTCTATAGCCTTTGGGGCAATTATATATTCATTTTATGACTTTGAGGCAAGAAGAAATTTTCTGTGACTTTAATCCGAGTTCATATATTTAACCCCAACCCCTTTCCAAGCACACAGCTTTCAAAGACGTGACTGATATCTGTGTTATCAGGCACATCATAAAATTAGGACCTGCTGCAATGGTGGCATCTTGTTGCTTACATATAGATATTTCTCATACAGATAACCTTCCTTCCTTCCTTCCTTCCTTCCTTCCTTCCTTCCTTCCTTCCTTCCTTCCTTCCTTCCTTCCTCCCTCTCTCCCTTTTCTCCCTCTTCCTTTCCCTTGTTCATAACTACTCTCATTTAATTCAAATGTATATAAGAAGTAATTTTGTTTTAACTTTGTGAATTGCACTCACATTCACCGACAGGAAACTGGTTAAGTGTGATCTACTGAGGGAACCAGTCATTAGGGTCTTCAATGCATCTGTGGCCAGCAGCCTCATGAATCTGGTGATTCTCACTCCCTTTGCCCGTTGACCTCTTAGATTTTTACTTCTGTTTAGGTTAGCGATCAAAGCATTGCCTCTAAAATTGGCGTGCCAACTAAGAATGGAAGCAATTATGACCGGCTAGTACGTTTCTTTTCACAAGCTGAGTGCTAGTTCTCCAGTACTAACTTACTGTTTGATCATGGGAATGATAACACGCAGTCATTATCTGAGCTTAGATGCTTTGTTTTTAATCCAGAAACTAAAAAGTATTTAATAAACCACATATTTAGTTAATGGTCTCTAAATTCCTAGCCCTTACCTTCTAAATAAATAGGTTGATTGAGGCATTAGAAAGGGGAAAGTTTATGAATTGCTAATTTTGTAAAGCTTTCTTTCCATTAGTTTCATATTAAGTCTAATGAGATCTGAACATTTGTAAATAGGCAAAATAATGGGAAGAAACAACGAAATCTGTTTATTCTGGAAAGCCTGGCTTTTCCTCCTCTACTGACAGTCCATTCAGGGCCTCTTCCGTATCTCACAGGAATCACATTCTTCCTCCTGCTGTTCGTGTCCCAACTCAAACCAACAGGCATTCTTGCACATGTGCAGTTTCATCATACAAAGGTGATGAAGAGCCACGCTGAGAAGAAAACCTAGAAGCACATTTGATTTGGGGCAGAGTGCTGACGGTCCGTTCCCCACAGATACCTCTGCTCCTCAGTCTGCCTGTTTGGGTGTTGTATAGTTCTCTGAAGGCAGGTGGGCAATCGTGTTAACAGGCCATTGGAAATAAGTGAGTATGAGGAAAGGACTTTGTTGTTGTTTATTTGTTTTGTTTTCTTAAACAGCCAACTATCATTAGAAGAAAGGTAATTGAAGATTTTCAAGT